CAATTAATGTCAATGATGGTGGAAATGTTACCGTTTAGAGTTTTTTCACTGCTGCAGATGCTGGGAAACTTAAAGTTACTGATTCAACAGTGAATCCTGCATCATATCAAGAGAGAGCTTGAAGATAATATGAGGCCATCTGTCTGGAAGTTTGAGTTGACCCAGAGGTGGGTCTTTAAACAGGATAATGCACACAGCAGATCCAAGGAGTGCCTCAGAAAGAAGAAATGGACGGTTTATGGAATGAAGTGGTCAAAGCTCTGATTTGAATTACACTGAAATGTTGTGAGAAGATTTGCAAACATCTTGCAGCGGAACAGTTTCAGTGAACCAATGTAAGAAACTGGGGGACAGTTATGCAAAAATACCTACAGGAAGTTATTTCTGTTCAAGGGGCAATACTAGCTCTGAGGCCAGAGGTGTACTTTATTATTCACAGAAGGAATAATGATTGAAGAAGCTACTTTTCTTTGTGGTGCTGGTCTTCTGTATCTGTGGGCTCTGTTCAAAAAGAGAATCAGGTGCTTATGTGACCCAGATTTTTTAAAAAAAAGTCAACAATTTCTATGGAATGGTTTTTAAATGACTGTACATCAGAGGGACACTATGAATTGCAATATACTTCAAATGTATTCAACAAAATACTTGTTGAAGCACAGCTTGTACTGTATGATAAAAATGTGAGCTCACACTACTTGTGGGGTCTTTTAGGGTTGAAGAGGTAGGACTAAACTAGTAAGTGAAGTTAACATTTAAGTATTTAGGAGCTATTGTTTTGTTGTGATTGTAAATCTGATTTCAAGTATATAACAGATTTTTTATTTATTTATTTTTTTTTTAAATGTCAGAAGTTCAGATAAAGCTTGTGTCACTCCTCAGGCCACAGAATGATGCCTTTGTTTGCAACTGGTTGCACTGTTGCCTCCTCTGCTTCCTCGCTCTCATATCTCATTTTGCCTCCGTTCCCTTTCCCCTCCTCGCTGCACCAGCAACCGTCGGCCCTGCAGTTTGATCAGCCCTGTTTGTCTCACATATCCCAGGAATTAACAGCAAAGCCCATATTTAATTAATGCCCCCTCCCTTCTCTCCCTTTCTTTCCCAGCGGAGGCCAAAGCAGCCGAGGCAGCAGCGAGTGCCACCTGTGCTACACTGCCTCCTACACATGTGTACCTGCCACAGGTAAGCTTCCCTCCACGTCTCTGTTTTACAACGGCTTTTTGTTCCGCATGGAGGAGTTTTAGGCAGTACCTCCGGGGCTCCAGATATTTGCGAGTGTGCAAGTTAAAATTTCAAGCGGTCGCAATAGTGGGAATGCACGATGATCATGAAGCTGTATTAGTGTCGCTGGAACCGGCACAGGAAGCTGCTGGGTTAACCTCAGTGGTGGAAAGCAATACTTTAATAACTTCAGTGAACTGTGATATTTATGCTTAAAAATGTAAAACAGAGCACACCTTCATTCATTGTTTTCTCCGCTCATAGAAAAGGGTGCATGTAAAAAAAAAAAAGTAAAAATCACTCATTTCATTTTGGACAAATCTGACATGAGAACACCCTGGTTTACCATTTTTAAGGTCATTTTTGGTCACACACCTGTCAGAGCACACCACAGATACCAACAGCAGCTACCACAGCCTCCAACGTGGGGCGTTTAGGGAACATCTGTAAATTGTAGTGTCTATCCTTAAGAAAATGTTCAACAAGTCATATGTTTGCCTTTGACCAGGTGGGGAGGTGTGACCAAGTAAGAAAGTTGGTCCACCAGTGCTACTGGTTGGTCTGGAGCCCTGACCTCCAAAACCATAAGAACTGGGAGTAAAACAACCAGTTTTGTTATTTTGAGCATCATTTACTCACGTGTAACAGACATTTTGTCCAGCAAATGCTCAGAAATAACAGGAAAATATATAGATTTCTGTTAGATAAGGTACCACAGACTCAGCATTTACTGTGCCCAGATTGATCATGCTTAATGTTGTGCAGTCGCCCCCCCAAGGCCAGGAAAAACCCTCTGTAGCCATTATTCATAGTGTTCTTACTGCAATGTTAATTATGAAATAATAGAATGAATTAATTTTGGACGTAATACAAAGAGTATACAGTCGAGAGATTTTTAGAGCAGTTTATTTGCTAAATTTCTGCAGGTACATTAGGTTGGTTAGTTAATGGACAGAAAGTTAAATGCCAGCACTTTTGGTAATCAGTTATATCAGTGATTGTTTTTAGTTTGCAGACTCCAGCTTCTTAAACATGAAGATTTTAATGCTTTTTCATTTCATATTTGATTGTAAAAACTGACTGTGTTTGTCCTTTGGAGTTTTGTTCAAATAAAAAGGCGACCTGAAGACATCACACTGGGCTCCCTGGGAGGAATGGTTCAGGATTTTCTCACATTTTAATTGTCATTAAAAAAAACAAAAAAACTAGAACATTATTGATAGTGAAAAGAAGCATTTGTGCAGCTCATCATCGGATGTCAGCTGTTTCAGTTTGCTGAAAGGCAGCATTTATTTTATTAGCCTCTGGACAGATGTCAGGATAGTTTTCTTTGCAGCATTACAGGTTCAGCCAATCACAGCGAGCAACAGCACACATGCTGATAGCTGCAGAGGATGCTGATGGGTGTGGTGCATTCTTACTGACACATCGACATAGTGTCTCTTTTACATCCTGAAAACAGATTATTGTACAGCACTGTTGTCTCAGAACATACCTCTCCTGTGTTTGCAGGACAAGCCTCCCCCCTACTCTCCTCCAGAAGACAAGAAGAACCAGTAGACCTGCTTAATCTCGCCCTCCCTCCTCTTGTTCTCCTGTATCCTCCATCCTACTGGACCACCTCGTTTCTCATTCCATTAACTGGGCATCAGGAGGACAAAGTATTCTTTTTTTAACATTATCCCCTCTTCTTGTCTTCCTAGTCCCCTCATCCCCTTTAAGTCTTCTCATTCCATTGCTTTCCTGCCTCAGTCTATATACCCTCTGCATTCCTTGTAACTATTCTTATCTTGTAATCAGCTTCATTCTCTTCAGAAGCACCTTTACTTGATGGTAGCAGAGTAGAAGTATTGGTAGCAATCTTTGACAGAGAGAAGATTGCTGAGGCCAAAGTGGTCAGGATTTTGGGGCTTTTTGACAAAAACTGTAACCTGACTAACTATTTTAGTATTTCTCGCCTTGCAAGTGTCCCAAGAATCATACGCCACCTTAAACTTTAGATTCAGCGATGCTGTGAAGCTCATTTACAATTTTCTATGACTGTGTATTAAACTTGACTCAGTCTAATAATTCCTTTGCTAACCTGTCTGAGAAGAGCTGGATGCAGTCTTTTATTTTTCTATGATTTATGTGTACAGGCTTTTAATATGTAGACTTTTAAAATGAGATATTTTCTCAAGAACACTAACCTTAAGAATAAATAGCTTTTGTAAGGAGAGCAGATTGCAGGGTGGTCTGGTCTGCTTTGTGGACGAGAGGACCACGAAGATTAGAGCGGCGTCGAGTGAATCCCTGATCCTGGATTAGAGCAGAGAGCGAGGGGGGGCCTGCAGGGACAGTCGGCCAGGACGGATTATCTTTATAATGTGCAAGAGCAGACCCAATGATGTCACTCACTGTTTTGTCATGCTCCTGAACGTTTGAGAAAACACAGTCAGACTCACCGCCAGCCTGCTTCACCTTCCATGCTCCTAATGTACATTTCTACCATTAAAGATACAAACAGAACCGTCAGAGCAGTTTCTCATCGTTTTTACTTTCCGTGGTTGTGATCTTAACTCTCCAGTTTGAGGTCCGTCTTTCGATCTGATCTGAGCACCTCAGTATCTGAGCCTCTACTCTTTCTTCCTTCCTCTGTGGTCATTAATCTATATACTGTATCTGTGGCACATCCGTGGCTGATTCTTTGCACTTTTAGAATGCTATGCATCGGGCTCCTGTTTGCTCTGTTATGGCTGTGTGTAAAATACAAATAAAGCTCTGTATTTATTTCAAACTAATTTATTGAATAATTAATGTAAAATGGCTCAAGTAAGAAAACAAAGCATGATCTCAACTAATGCATGTGTGCATTGGATAGGATTTTATTAAATGATTCATGTGGAACAGAACTGTCCGTCTTTTTTTTTTTTTTTCTACAGAGTATTGCTGTCACACATTGACGGGTATTAAATGTCCACTTTGAACACAGAATAGTGCATTACCATATTTGACAAATGTATTCCAGAGTCAGCAGGAGGGGTGATGATTCTTTTTTTTTTTATGCCATTAGGCCAAAAAGACTGAAAATGTGCTTGTCATTTCTCAGTCAGTCAGTAGTCCTCGTCTGCACTTTAATTCAACTTGTGCAAATCCACAGCAGTTTCCCAAAAACTGATGCATGATGTCCTGAGCCTCAAGTACCTCAGCATACCAAAGTTCACAACTATGATTTGTAAGTGCTCATGATCTTCAAAAAAAAAAAAAAAAAAAACTGGCACCAAAAAAAACCTGCTAAGACCATCTGGACAGTACAGCAGATTCCAGCACAACACTGTCAGCATCACAGGTTTAGCCTGACGTGTAGTCAGGACCATTTGTGCATTCATAATAAGATCCCAAGATGATAAAATGTTGCTCCATTTCAGTTCTGTATTCTCAGTAGTCGTGAGCAGCAACACAACATTTTCGTTTCACCCACATCACTTGTAGTGCAACAGGTGGGAGGATTCAACAGGACAAAGTCTCACCAACTGGAGCAGCAGCTTGTTGTCCTGGACACATGACCCACTGGCTCACATCTGGCTGTGGGCCGAGTCCTGCACACGCACGAAAGCTACTAAAATCTGAAAAGCACAGAGGTTTGGGCATGCTTGAGCATTTTTTTTTTTTTAGCTTTTATTTCTCAAGGCCTACATAGTTGGACTTAAAAGGTTCAATTTTGAAATTCAAGCATGGCCAGGAGGATTTGCCTGATGTGGCTTTTTGTAATACAGAAAAATTTCCCTTTATCTTTGCTGCTTTGACTTCCTACATGTGGACATGTACTGTGTGGAACAGGTGGAGCTTCAATCCACACATTAAAGGAACCACACTGATTTTTTTTTTTTTTAAAGGGAAGGATTGAGCACCAGCTCTGGCAGAAAATGTGAAAGTACAAGACATCTTGAGAAGCTCATTAGATCGATGCCACTCCTTCTTTATGATAAGCATGAAGCTAGAACACTTTCTTTCATCGCTACTAAAACTTAAGTGTAAAAACAACACATGAGGCTTTCCATTGAACATACAAATATTAGAAAGCCATCCATCTTCTCTTAAGAATTCTACTTCTTTAAAGTATACTGGAGTCAGGCACAGTTAATCTGACAAATGTACCGTATGAGCAACAAAGGTTTGCAGTGTCCTGTCAGCCTGTTACGGTTGAGTCCTAGATTGCCACTCCAACATCTGTCTATTACACTTAAAACACTGCAGGAGGAGTCTGTTCAGTCATAGCACCACAACACGATGGATCCACGGTTACTGATGCACTCACCTGCTCCTCAGTAACTTCATCATTCAAACACGTGTCATTACGTAAGTCTGGGGGAAAAAAAAAGAACACTTTTGTTTTCTGTATCTGAGCGGTCACTCAGATATTAGCAACTCTTCATCCAGCATGTGTGTCGATCGTTGTGAGTCAGTGTTGTTCATGATGAGTCATTTGCCTGTCAGCTCAACCACCTGTAGTAAGTGCTCATTGTCTCGCAGTAGCAACACTAAAAACTATTTTTTTTTGTTGTGAAAGTACAAAGTTCTGACATGACTAGTTGAGATTGGTCGGAAAGCGGACTTCTCTCGAAAATTAATTTCTACATACTTTAAAGAGAAAACAAACCAGAATGAAGCAGTGTGAACTTAAATGGTAAGGCCCTTCAGGAGCAGTTACCACTTCCTTAGCTGTGGTCAGGAATAAATCGAAGCCAAGGGGCAGGTTTTGGGGGAAGTAAAGCCCATCACAGGCGGTTCTTCTGCTTAAAACAACATAGGAAGGCAGCTGTTGTAAAAGAGGAAATAAAAGACTTTAAAAAGCTGCTAAATGGTTAGGGCAGGGGGGTCCTCTATGTTGAGTCAGCTTGTGCCCACGGTCTGTAGTGCTTCCTATAACTCAGCTCCCGTCTTCACCTCCTTTGTGAGTTGCTCATGTGGAGCAGAGGGTGATGCTGACGCCCTCTCCTATCCAGCAGGCGGGAAACAGCTCCTGGGTGAAGGCACAGTGGAAGGCGTGGAGCCTGTTCTGCCCGTCTCCGTAGTAGGTGAGCGTCCCCGCCTCGTAGTCCAGCAGCATGCCGATGCGGCTGTGCTGCGAGTGGCCGGTCAGGGTCTCCCTCCGGCCGTTGTGCCAGGCGCTGAGCTGATGCTCGTCCAGCTGCAGGCTCCAGGACAGTTCGTTCATACCCACCATGCACCTCTTGCCCTTCTCCTTCCTGGGGATGGTCTCGTAGGTCACCTGACAAGAGGTGGGGCAGAGGATGAAATAGCTGCAGCATCAGCTTTGAGTTGCTTTATGAGGATCACGAATGCATGTACAAAATTTCAGCTGTTGGCATATTTCAATCTGGACAGAGCGTTGGAGAGAGCCAGCAACAGATCGACATGACCATCTGTGCAGGCACAGCTACAGCTACAGCGTGGTTGGAGTCGTTATTGTGAAAAACACAATTTTGTAAAAAGGTAAGATGATGAATGGTAGATTAAGTACACAGTTCTACTAGGATTATAATTAAGTAGATGACACAGCAATACTAGGAATGGTAATGTCACTGTCCTGTCATGTCTGATTTTGGCCCAAACTAAAACATCTCACCAACTTCTGGATGGTTATGTTTTTTTAACATTTTGTACTTCTGTTTTGTGTGTATTTTATGTATGTAGGATGTTTGTATCTTGTAGCCTGATTGCAAAAAAGCTTCCCATTTGGGCCAATAAAACGACTGAGTTGAATTGAACTGGATCGTCATGGAACTTGTCATCAGTATCCATGGTGACGAGGTCCTACTGATTAAGGTGAATTTTGTTGTTCTAGCAAAACCATCTGTGAATTTGACTGTGAAATGTGTCTCAAACCACTGGATGGATTGCTGTGAACTTCAGTGATCCCTTACTTTACCTCTGGTGGTACTAACAGGTCTAAATTTCCATTTGTCCTTCTTAGTTGACACTTTGGTTTATGTCATAATACCTGCAGAACCAATAGCCTCAGGAAAAATTGACTAAGTTCCTTTTTTTTTTTCTTTTCCTAACAAAGTATGTACTGTTACTTGCAGTATTCATACAACGGGGACATATTAATTTATTACAGTGTTAGGCCATAAGCTTTTTTTTTTGTAAAGTTATTTTTGGGCTTTTTTGCCGCCAAAAAAAGGACAGGAAAGTGGGGAAGAAGACTGGGGGGAAGGACCTGCAGGAAAGAGCCATGAGCGGGACTCAAACTCATGACCTGTGCGTCGGGTAACTATAGCCCCTGAACATGGGACACCAGCTCAACCAGGTGAGCCATAGCGGCATCCTTGGCCCTAAGCTTCAACAGTCTTGCTGACATATCGTTTGCAGTCTGAAGTGCGAAATGAGCTGTCATCTCTCTGTGTGCTCTCGGCCATTCAAGCCTATTTTATTTGCACAAAACACCCTGACATATTTGTACTGTGCTGAGGACTGTAGGTCAGAATGGCAAGAAAAGCACGCTGGCTTGCATCTAGCAAAATGAGAGCAGATATAGTAGGACTTCCTGGACGACTATATCCACAATATCAACCTATTTCTGGCAACACTGCATTCAATATACTATGTATTGGAAAAGAATACATCTTGTTCTGGCATATGATACAGTATGGGTATTGGAAAACAACCTTAGTGTTTAGTGTAAACATGCTAAACTCAGTAAGCTCTGTGACATCAGCTTTGTCAACGGTGGGATGTTGATGTTAGCATGTAGCTCAAAAGACCTGCTGTACTTTATCTGTTCTGAATTAAATTTCTGTGAAACAACTGAAGTACTTCTTTGTTATACAGCAATCCCAATGTTCATGAAAAAGCCAACTTTTAAAATGTATCGTCCAGAAATGCAATACAAACAATTCCACAGGCAAGTCAAATTTGTTTTGGGCTGTTTTTTGTGTGTGTGTCAGGCAGAACTCTTAAGTTACTTTAGTTTTTAAGTCTGTCATTCAAAGCTAAACTAACTATTTGGCTATAGACTTCAATGGGAAATCAGTGATTCTAATTCAATACAGTTTTGTTAAATTCAGTGACTCACCTGCTGTCCGTTCTCCGTATGCACCGAAAGGATATCAAATATTTGTATGCTCTGGCTTTGTAAATGTGGAAACAAAGTGTGTCAGACTGATCCACACAACACTATCTGCCTGCAGCTAATCATTACTGTTATGTTTAATTATTATAATCACACTTTACACGCTAGAATCAGAGAATTGCACAGATATTATTATTAAACCAATTATTTATTAAAAAAAAAAAGCTGGTAATTAACAGTTGACGACTAACTGATTGATGGTTACAGCTCTACGACACTATTACAGCCAACAAGCAGCAGGAGGCACTCATGCTTGTGCACAGGATGGGGGGAATTGTGAAGGGGATATGATTGAGAAACAACGAAAAAGGAAGGCTCAAAAAGGACACAAACTTAAAACGTAGTGCTATGATATGAAAGAGACATGCCTTTCCACGTTGCATACAGCTGGAACATCAGCCTGGTTGTTAGTGCCGTTGCCTTGGCGATTCATGGACAAGAATTTGTGAGGTGAGGTTTCTAAAGACGCACTGAAAGGTGAGGTTTGTTTGTTTGTTTGACTGTTGAGGTAAAACATGAACAGTCTTTCTCCAGAATCGCTGACTTCTCTTTTAAACAAGCTGCACTGATTATAGAAAATGAAGTAGCAACCTCTGCCAGCTCTGAGATGTTTCAATGTGAATTGTATGATTTCAGGATTTATAGTTGTTATTATTTATAGAGTCTAGATGCTCAAATTGGCTTTTTGTGAATATCAGGGCTTTCGTGATTCATCCTCACAGCCACAGTATACAACCACAACATGATGTCTTACCCCGAGGTAGGCCCAGGG